TTCTCCACCCCGCACAACATGATCTACTCGACCACCAGTATGGTTACCGCCAAAGATAAGAAACGGAGGTAAAAAAACAAACGGTAACCTGGTTGCCGAGCTCACGAAGTGAATTGGCTTGTTTTACAACGTCGTTGCCAAGCGACGAAAACCCAACCCCGATGGCAAACACCGGGGGGGGTCAAAACTGACCGAAACGCTTGTAAATTGCCCCTTGTTTATGTGAAAAACACATGAGAATAGCCAGCCCGTAGAGCTGTAAGCCACCCGAGCTGCTGAGCGGTGGCGTCAATTTTGCCTTGAGCAAACACGGCGTCGGGGGTATTTTGTTGGAATCAAGCTGCGGGACATCCCCCTCCCTTTTGGCCTGAACCGACCAGAGACCACCACCCCACGAGCTGCAGGGCATGCAACGGTGGTGCAAAATGCAGCCTTACGCTTAGTGTTAAAGAGGATCGCACTAGGAGACAGCTGTTGCAGTGTACTTGTAGGTGGTTTCTAAAACAATCGTCGCGGGGAAGTCGGTCGTTGAATGTACCTGCTGAAAACACCTTGCATCGTTTGGGGCAACTGTATCATGACACCTTTATTGTCACCTGGCCAACCACAACAGACCCGCTCACCCGTGTTGCTTATTTTTCGGCAGTGATCAAACAACGACCTCACGGTGTGAGACCCTTCTTTTGAAATCGTACATGGCACGGCAGACAGCAGCATGATCTTGATCGCCAAAAGCTCTTCCCCATGATAAAACATGTGTCCGCTGTTCCACCCGCCCGCCGAAATCAACGAATATACAGGTGGGGGGATTGTTCAGCAACCTCAAGTACAAGGTGGAGTTCTTCCGCGAGAACATCCTCATCAACGACAACGTGATGGAGTGCTGCAGGATCTACAAGGTGGAGAAGCTGGTGTCCTGCCTGTCGACGTGCATCTTCCCCGACAAGACCACCTACCCCATCGACGAGACCATGGTGCACAACGGCCCGCCGCACACCAGCAACGAAGGGTACGCGTACGCCAAGCGCATGATCGACGTGCTCAACCGCTGCTACAAGGTGCCAGTATGTTACGACTCCCTCCTCCTCCTCGGCTACTCTATTGTCTTTGTTGCCTGATTTTTTACCTTTTCGACACGTTTGTTGAGGTTGCATATCCGTTTCTGGCGAGGGCCCGCAAGCGTAAACTGGAAGGCGGACTGACTTCTAGTAAAACAGGGTCCGCGCCCTGTTTTTTCTCCTGCATCGCGCTGAGTTGCGTGGTTTGGGAGATAGACGCTAAAACGCGCGGAGGGGCTGTATCGTTCGTGTTCGGCTTTAAGTCGGAGTCTTTCATCACCTTCCTGGGCTTCCTTTGTATGCTGTAGTGGATGTATCTCAAGGCGCCTCGGCTGCCACCAGCTGTTCCGTTGCTGCCGCGACTTTACCTCTGGTGCTGCCTCTCGTTGTGGACGTACGATTGTCGCACTCACGGCAGGACGAGTACGGCTGCAACTTCACATCGGTGATCCCCACCAACATCTACGGCAAGGGGGACAACTTTTCCATCGACAACGGGCACGTGCTCCCGGGACTCATCCACAAGTGCTACAAGGCGAAGCAGGTTAGCTCAGCTACTGCTGTAGTGGCTGCTGCTGCTGCTGCTGCTGCTGCAACAACGTCCATGGTCGCTGGAAATCTGGCGTGGCGATGTGTTGAGCCGCTGGCGGAGGCCAGCTTGCGCGTTGAGGGTATGCCTACCCGAGAAAGTATTATTTTGTTGCGTTTCTTGCTTCGTCGTCCCGTCTCTGGGTGCACTATCTGGGCAAGTTGCGTATGGTCGACAAAGGGCGTCGATGGTTCTCTCAGATAAGAGCGCTCTATACGTACGGTGCCCTTTGTTTTGCGGGAGATTTTTTTTCGCCCGATGTTGCTGGGAGATGCGGATCGATCTCGCGTGTGTTGCCGCCTCAATCCACCATATCTCTGTAAATTGTTGTGGCTGGCAACAGAACATGGTTTTAATGTGTGTTGCACGCTGACACACTATTGTACGCACACGTATCAGGCCATGTCAGAGTTAATGTGGCGGTGACCCACTCACTCATAATCCATGCCTTGTCTGCTGTTGCGGCGTTTGTTTGGCTTCTCTTTGAGCTCAGGCGGGCGAGGACTTGCACGTTTGGGGCACCGGGAGCCCGCTACGCCAATTCATCTACAACGTCGACCTCGGCGCCCTGATGGTGAGGGTGGGGTAGCCTTTGTCGTGGTTTATTCCTGTGTGTTGTGTGTTCCCCCTGGGTACTGAAGCTTGAGAAGATTTGGTCCAGCTAATGTTGAATATTCCTGTGCGTGTTGCCCCTGAGTACTGAAACTTGCTTGCTTGTGACCGGGTCCTCTACGAGCGTGACTGGGGCGTACATTGTGTTTTGTAGCGATCAATAGTGTTGGACCAATGCTGCTGTGGTGTTGCGGAGTCCCTTCTCGGCGGTGCCTTGTTCGCCGTTTCCCCTTCTCCGAGACACTCGGGAGGTCTTCAGCTCCCGTTTCTGTCATGGATGACTAGCTTACGACAGGCAGACATTCTTTCCACGATTGGCACGTCAATTATTTCGAACTTTGTTTTCACCGTGCCGTCATTCGCCGCGAGTTTGTGTAGGCCAAATGAGGCGTGTGCCTGCTTCGGCGTGCTGTCTGCTTCGGAAAAGGCAAAGCCAAAAGAACACAGCTACAAGTTCGTACACACCTGCTGTAGTCTAATCGACACGCTCGCGCGATTTGCTTGCTTTTTTCCTTGCTTGCTTGCTTGCTCTATCTTGGCGAGATCAGATCTGGACGATGCGCAACTACCACGAGGTAGATCCTATCATCTTGTCCGTCGGGGAGGAGGACGAAGTGTCCATCGCGGACGCGGCGAAGATGATCGCGAGCGCGATGAACTTCGAAGGGAACGTTGTCTTCGACACTGACAAGGTGGCTTGACTTGACTTGACTTGACTTGCATGTGCAGCAGTAGCGTTTTTCATGTCTACTGTTGCTACCTAGAGACAACGTTTACTTGCGGTCTTATGGTGTATGTAACGTTTTCATGTTTGCGACAGACGATCTACCTGGAGATGATCTTGACCGTTGTCGTTCAACTTATATGTACCTTGGTGCCGGGTTCGATCGTTTTCTGTGACGAGCTCGCAGAGAGAAAGTCGTCAAAAGATATGCACCTAAATATATCGCTTTGGACTTTTGAACGGGAATACAGCTCGCCGTCGTCAAGGCACGCTCGTGTGGTTTTTTTCTGTCGCTCCTGAAAGCCTTGCATACCGTCCGGCTTCCTTGGCGTATTGACGAATGAGATAGAAGCTCCCTGGCTTTCGTGGGAACGTTTGGAAGTTTGAGAAGCTTGGCTTGTCTTGGTTCTTGCATTAGGTAACCCCTCGCTTGTCACGGCCCAGGTCAGGTGATTTTGGCGCTTTGTTTTGATTTTGATTTTGATTGTGTCGATCTTCCTCACCCCTCCTCGCCGGCGTCTCGACCCGGCACTTTGCGCTCCCCTCAGAAAGCGGCGAATCGAGTTACTTTCGCTCTTGAATCTCTCCTTCTCGTGGTTTGCGTGTCCGCGCGCCGCATGTGGTTGTGTTTCCGTCCCCTACCCCCAACTCTTAATCCGCTCTGCTGCGTCTCCCTCAAGCTGGTGGTTCCTGATCCTGGTCGTTTGTTTTTCTTATCGTGGTATGTAAAATCTCAGATGCCTTGCCTCGTTGTGGTTGCTCTGTGTTTTCGTTTCCCCAGTCGGACGGACAGTTCAAGAAGACGGCGTGTAACGACCTCCTCAAAAAGAAGAACCCTGACTTCAAGTTCACATCCATGCAGGACGGACTCAAGGCGGTGAGTAACCCCCCCCCCCTGACAGTCAACAACGAGATCGGCTCTTATGCTATAAGTGTGTCGGGCTCCTTGTAGTGTTGGCCTTTCCCGTGCATGTACTGCTTTATCACGAGTCAAGCGTCGTCAGATGTCCAAGATCCGTGTCAGCACGCTTGCGCAGCTCTCATTTGTTGTGGAAGATGCTCTCGTTCGTCTTGAGCAGGCGTGGGGAGGTAGTCTTTTGCCCCGTACATGCCATGGCGGAAATTTTTTTCTCAAGTGTTTATTTTACCCTCATCCTTAGTTACCAGGCATGGTACGTCAAGCATACCCCGACGCCCAGAATGGACGGGGGGGGGGGGGGGGGGGGGG